AACGTTTGTGTGTCCCTGATAAAGAGTCTTTGCGTAGTCTGTTTTTAGGCGAGTGTCATGACGCCACCGGCCATTTTGGGTACAAGAAGACCGCAGCCAATTTGCTGCAAAGGTTCTGGTGGCCCACGATGTTAAAAGATGCTAAGCTGTACGTGGAAACTTGTCAAGTTTGCCAACGAGACAAGCCCCGCACTCAGGCTCCTCTTGGGCTGCTCAAGCCCCTTCCGATTCCGGAAAGGTCGGGTGAAAGCTTGTCCATGGACTTCATGGATACGCTGGTCACCAGAAAGAGTGGGATGAGGCAGATCTTCGTCATCGTGGATAGGTTTAGTAAGTATGCTAGGTTAATAGCCATGCCGGAAACAGCGAAGACCGAGTATGTAATTAGGCTGTTCAAAGAGAACTGGGTGAGGGATTTTGGATTGCCTAAGTCTATTGTAAGTGACAGGGATGTCAGATTTACAAGTGAGTTATGGAAGGCCGCTGCAGCTGAACAGGGAACTCAACTGCAAATGACTTCTGGAAACCATCCAGAAGCAAACGGCCAGGCTGAACAGATGAACCGCGCTGTTCAACACCTGTTGAGGCATTACATTAAGCCCAACCAGGTGGACTGGGACGAGAAGCTTGCTCTTGTCGCCAGTCTGTACAATAACGTTGTACACAGTGCTACCGGGGTGCGTCCTAACAGTCTATAGCTTACCTTTAGGCCTAGACTGCCCTTAGACTTCCTACTTCCTGATAACCAGCCAACTGTTGCACCAGGCACTTTGGAGTTCGCTTATTGTTACGAACAGAAAATACAGGAGGCTGTAGAGCACATGCAGAAGGCGCAGGCAGCAATGATAGAATCTGAGAATAAACACCGCCGCCCTTCTACATTTCAGGTTGGGGACACAGTCTGGGTCAAGTCTTCAGAATTGGGACAGGAGTTCGGGATATCCCGCAAACTCATGCCTCGGTACTTTGGACCTTGGGAAGTTTTAGACGTAGTAGGGACAGATACTGATGGTCCATCTTATGTCATCCGTATCCCTGGTCACCTCAGAACTTACCCAGTCTTTCACACCTCTAAGCTCGCTGCGTTCAAGGAAACTGATCAGTTTCCCTCTCGTCGATCAATGCTGCCCCCAACCATGGACGGAGAAGTCGACATCGATGATATTGTCGACCACAGGGAGATGCCTGTTCAGAAGCCTCCGGGAAGGGGACGTCCTCCAAAGCCAAAGCTGCAGTTTCGTGTCCACTTCAGACATCACACAGATCCGAAGGAGGACCACTGGTTTACTCAGGAGGAATTGATGCAGACGGCTCCTCAAATCGTTGCCCGCTATGAGAGGGATGTATTGAAAGGAAAGCGCCAGATGGCTCAGAATTGATCTTCTCAGAGGACTAACGAAGATATGGAGGAGGGAATGCGAGGCTACGCCCGCTCAGCCCCTTCGGGGCCCTTTTTGCAGCATGTCGGCCGCCCTAAGTGAAGGCAGGCGCGACAGGCCCTCAGGGCCTCGATTTTCAGGGTACCCCGCAACTGGTGAAATTCAGACAGTTGCGCTGCGCCAGTTAGTTGAAGGCGCCGAGGCCCAGGCCATATTTTGCAAATGTATCTGAATGGTGACCTGGGCCAGACGCGTGGGAAAGGCCGTGAGCAGGCCAAGGGCAGTTGGGCACATGCAACCATCAGGCCCTGGGCCTGCRTGTGAGGTCTGGGCCTGTGCCTACCGGGGCCTACTGGAAGCTTCCTAGACTGGACGCAGGCAGGCCACTTCGATATAGGGAAGGGCCTGCCTCCTCATTCGGCATTCGGGTGCTGGCTGCATGCTGCGCGAGCGCTGCTGCGCTATTTGCTGGCTGGCTGGCACTCACGCTCTCACGGGCGAGCAGGAAGGAGCGGGCAGCCATAGCCGAGCTGCTCCGCTGTAAGCTGGGTGTGGCGCAGGGTGGTCCTTGGGTGCTAGTGGCATCTRTGTGGTGTGGATYGGGGTTGTGAGTGTTGCGAGAGACATACCTGGTGCTGGAAGCGTGCGGCATTGTCCGCTGTATGCTCGTACTTCAGGACGCTGTTGTTGTCAACATCGGCATTGTAGTATTAGGCTAGATAGGATCTGCCACATGTAGTCTGGGCGCCGAGCGCCAATAGGATATCAACTCTTGTTCTTCGTTGATGATGATGAGAGACTATTTCAGCATTGTCAATTACGAACTATTGGTGTGTTCTTATTTGGTGAATCTCGTGATGCATTTCTGCTGTTGGTTCGAGGTCAAGACTATCTGGACTCATATGTATGATGCTGTTTGATTGCTGGAGTTCGCTAATGCTCATCTTCCTTGCATTTTGAACTTTTTGCTTGCTTTAACTTGTAGAGGTCCTGGGCACCTCAATTTTATTTGACCCCAGGCCTACAAACCCAATGACTTTCTGGAGCCTCTGTGAACCCTCTAGGACTAACTCTTGGCCCTCGAACTTAGCTTGCCCATAAGCTGCGTCCCTGAGACCTTTTCTGTGCGGATTTGACCTTGGTTCTTTGCAACGGGGATGGGGAGTTATCACCATGTATACTCCTCTCTAAGGTCAGGTGACTATGCAAATTTATTTGTATTCTCCAAGTTTTTCTGCATTCGTGGGCCTCGCTGATCGTCCTTGAGAGCCAGTCATTCGCCATGCGTGAAGATCATTGCCATTATCTTCGTGGATGGGATGGGAAATACTTGATCTCTCATTGGCATGGGGGAGATCTTCAGAGAAGAGTCATTTTGGCGCGCTCTTCACAGTTCTTTCCTGATTTTCTCTTCTTTTTCTCATGCTCTGCAGATGGTTTGCTGTATTTGACGATGGTGATGGTGATGCTCTGGCACTCTTTGATGCTATGCTTTCCTTCCAGGATACGATCTTCGCTGAATACCGAATTTCAAGTCAAAATGCAGGCAGGATTGCCTTCACTATTGACCTGGGTCTCTTCCTCCGTGCACTGAGGAGCTCTGTAAGCATGGATGGCGACGTATGTCAAGTGAAGCTTGTCAAGAAACGCGCCCGATCAAGTGGGGTGACAGAAAAAGCATTACCCTTCCTGACTTTTGAAAGCAAGGTGTGATTATTTGTTTGATCATTATGTATGGTATTATCATTGTATATGAAATATGAAAATAAGAAAGTGACCGAATGACATAAAAGTCACGAAAGTTAAAGCATTTTGGATGGACCTTTTCAATCATGTTCTGCTTCATCCATTCATTCACACAGTGTGCCTGAGTTCTTCCTAAATCCAGAGGCCCACTTTCCTGCTTGCTATCCCAAATGTCACAGATGTGTACGCACTTGTTATCACTCACCTGCTTGGGATCTACCAGCTGAGTGCTCAAACTCTGCGCAATACTACAGCAACTCAAAATAAATAGTGCATCAGGATGCCTGGCTGAGCAGGCCTGGTCGGGCACGCCAGTGATTCGCTCGGGAGGTCTCCTGGCTGGGTCAACTGAGGCATGTCAAAAGTCTGGCATTTTGTCTTTTCTCTTTTTCTAAGTGGCGCATTTATGCGCCCACTGAAAGCAGCCTAAATCCAAGCTCTGTTGCGTTTTTCCGTCTTATCAGCTGGGGGGGGGGGGGGAGAAGCCTTTAGAGGGGTGCAGACAGACGCTGGACAATTGAAAACAAAAAGGTAAACAGGAATAAGGGCCTGAAGTGGAAGTGCACTGGGAGGGATGGTATGAATGAAGGGGGCAATGTTGGGTGGGGTGGGTACTGTGTGGTGCAGTGTCCAGCGGCTGCCCCTATCAGACTTCTCCCTATTTCAACCAAAACCTATATTTTGCCTAGATGTATGCACATGATTGCTTGGTTTGAGGTTTGCGTGTTTGGATCTTGGGGTTTGAGAGTTCAAAATGGTACTGGGATGTCGAGTGGGGTGTTTGATATGAGAGGCGGGTGATGTTTGGAAGCGAGGATATACGGGTCTCAGGGACCCCATATTTGCACTGGGCCACGGCGGAGACTGGACACTGGAAGAGGCATGATGACATGCAGACACACAGGCGGCCATATGGGTCCACTGACGGATTGGTGGTGAGGGTGGTGGGTGACAACGAGTGATGCTGCCTACATGGCGAAGTCATTTTGGGTGCCACGGGCAAAGTCAAATTTTGTGCAGGTTGGATGGTTCGGCATGGTAGTAGCAGTGGGATTCGGGTATCTTCTGGATGGTTTGGGAGAGAGGAGGAAATCAGGTGCTCTACAGGGATGTCAGCGTCCGTGTGTGGGACAAGGTGAAGCGAGTGGTGGCGTATGGGTATGTGGCAGCAGGTGCAAGTGTGTGTGAGTGCATGAGTGACGGTGTCTCTGTGTGCATGTGAATGGAGGTGTGGGGGTGAGCGAGGATTCCTTGGGAGGGGGAGATATGGGACAAGGGAACATGCAGAGTTTTTTTTTTCCTTAGATGGGCAAGTTTACATTTTCCAGAAAAGGGGGGAGGGGGGGTGGGAGGCTTGGGTCAAATGAGGTGGTGAAGGAGGAGGACAGGAGGAAGAGAAGAGGAAGGATTGGTCCTTTAAGGCTAGAAGTGGACCTGCTGCGGCTATGCTCATGGCACATTGTGGCGAGATGTGTATGGCAGGAAGTTGCCCGTTGAAGACGGAAGCACAGAAATGTGAGATGTGCGTATAGAGTAATGTATTTCAAGTTCGATAGAACCACCGTGCAGAGAAATGTGCATCAGAGGCAGTGTCCGAGAGTCAATTAAGCATACGGCCCCAAGGAGGCAACCACGGCCGTAGGAAATCAGCACAGGTGTGCCTATGTACAGTGACAGAGAGCTCCAGTACAGCTACTGTCGGAGATTGCATCAAAGTGCAGAATTCCGTTTCCAGGGTTTGCACCATATGCCATCTGCCTCCTCGTGTTCCTCATCTTCTTCCCAGACAACCGTCCAGGGCTCTCTCTCTCTCTCTCTCTCTCTCTCTCTCTCTCTCTCTCTCTCTCTCTCTCTCTCTCTCTCTCTCTC